TCTCTCTCTCTCTCTCTCTCTCTCTCTCTCCCAATCACGGTTCCGTCACGTGACATGCTGTGGGTAACGCCCCCCGCACCGGCTTGTCGGTTTCCTCTGATAGATGGCGTCACGAAGCTATATACAAACAAGGCCGTCGTACACACAGGCACTTGAAGCGTTTCAATAAAATATAATGTTAAATCATATAAATACGAATATTCTATTTTTATATGTCAGTGTGCAGTGACAGAAATGGCGGCAACCAGTGTTTGTTGTAGATGAGCATTTGGACGACATTTACAGGAAATTGTCGGCAATAATAGGTGAAAGAGAGTATAGAAACATTAAGACTTTGGTAGTAAATAGATTTCGAATTTATTTAGCATTATATTTTATTGAAATCGCTCCAAGTGCCTGTGGCCCTTATGGCCTTACGTAGCGTCGCTTACGACGTAGTCGCCGACAAAATTTGAAGATCGTACGTCAAAAACCGGCCAGATCGCCGATAAAAAACATCGGCGACTAAACTCGACATGAGTTCTCTTACGATTGAAAATGCAGTCGCTGACTGCGATCGCAGGAATAGAAATGGTTCTATTTCTATGCGGCGGTCGGCGACAAATCGTGAGTGGCAGCCAATCACCGCTACATGTCGGGTCACGTGATTAACAAAATGGCAGCCTACACAGCAGTTTACAAGGAGGGATTATTGCACAAACCCTTTCTCAAATATATATTAAGTTTTCCGTATATCACAGGCAATTTTTAAAATTCTTTTTCTGCACATGATTATAACGATTTTCAGAAAATTTAGGATAGATTTACGAAGTTACCTGATGTTTATTGGTAAGCGTCGTTTTGTTGGTCATGTGACTCGTTTTATGTAGACTGGTCCTGGCGTCAAGCTTGCTCTGTTTGTGCTAAAGAACTGCTTGTGCTAGTACAAATACTGGGGCCGCGAATCCGTCTACGTTTCCTGCAGAACGCTATGATCTGATCGGCGATGTACAGCGTGAAGTCACTTCAAGTCGACGTGAGAGTTGCTACGCTGCTAATCGGCGATAAAATTAGTCGCCTATAGTCAAATCGTAGGGCGACCTGAGCAGGGCTTTAGTGTTTAACGTCAGACTCGCCACGTAGTCGTAGTGGTGTCTGTCACTGTCAGCGAGAAGGTAACTTTGTGGCTACAACAAGTACAACACTGTATCACTATCAGTGTATGTTACATGTATCAGGTATGATACAGTGATACACACTGAAATATGTTCGTTAGAAATTGTAAATCTAATGTTTGAATTATAAAAAATAACCAACCAAACGCGCCCTGTTGTCTTCTCTCATTGACCTTGTGTTTACATCCTAAATGGTAAACCTAATAATGTTTGTGTAACTACAACTTACAAACATCATCGTTGAAAAAAGTACTGTTTACATTAATGAAATTTAACTTGCCTGCGTAACCTAAGTGTTCAGGAGTGTTAACAAGGTTGCAGAATATCCCGAACTACACTGATAGGGGTTAGAGTAGCTCTAGTACTATAGCTCTTTGCTCCGCCGCGATCTCGCCTGCGGCGGAGCGAAGGGCTATAGTACTAGAGCTAGGATTAGAGTAGCCTGACCAGGCTCTACGACTGTTTCACACCACGTTTACTTTGTTGCCACTGGGTGAAAAGCAAGAAGGTAACTTGTGACTAGGGTTAGACTCTTCTCTGACTCTGAGTTGGAGCAAGGCCAATCCAACTGTGTGGGAAAACGTCAAACGTCACACAGTTAGAAGTAATAAGGTAGACCTGCAGACTGCACAAACACTTTCACGTATCCTGTTCATGCATGGCTACATCATCGTATCTTTGGAAAGCATACTAAGTGAAGAGTACTTGCTGCTGGTGCTTACGCCTACGGTGTATTCGCTGTTGCAGTTCTGGCAATTTGCGAAACATTACAATTCTCTTCTATGTGATCCCAAGTAGAATTCACTATAATTTTGCACATCCTCTATTTGTGTTTATCGGTCTTTTCCATGACAAAGACGGTGAAGGAATCGGATTGAATGCACGCGGCATCATGATGGCCGGCGACAACGACGCCGGAGTGACGGCCGCCCCGCAGCAGAACAACCCGCTGGCGCGCAAGCTGAGCAAGATACTCGAGACGCGGCTGGAGAACGACAAGGAGCTGCTGGAAGCGCTGAAGGCACTGTCGACGTTCTTCACCGACAACAGCCTGCGCACACGGCGCAACCTGCGCAGCGACATCGAATGCAAGAGCCTGAGCATCAACGAGGAGTTTGCCGAGGCATTCGGCCGCGTGAAGGAGGAGCTGGACGACGTCCACGCCGACGTGCAGGCGATGGCCGACTGCTGCCGCGACATGACGAGCAGGCTGCGCGCGACGCGCACGCAGACGCACGAGCTCATCGCCAAGACGACCAAGCTGCAGACGGAGACGCAGCGGCTCGAGATGAGGGCCAGCGTCGTCGATGCGTTCCTTGAGCGGTTTCAGCTGAAGCCGGAGGAGGTTAAAGTAAGCATTTCAAGCGGTCTTCCGCGACCGTTCTCGTATTTGTCCAATGGCTACGGTACTTACTTGCATTGTTGTGTAACAGCAAGTGTCTAAACTCTAAAGTGAGGATGAGATGTCTTAGAATACCTGTACGTCGTTATTTTTTGGATAGACCCTGTTCATGTACTTTTACATGGTAACTTGAATTAAGCAATGGAGACGTTGTACCAATCTAGAACCACTACGTCACTCAATGAGATGCAGTTTTGCCTAGTGGTGGCCGATTTCAGGATTTTTGCAAAAGCAAGAATGTGGCAGCATTATTTGCTATTTTACATGCCATAACAGCATAAATCCACGGTAATTTTTATACTGGAGTAATCAGTGACATGTTCGCTATTAGGTGAGACTGTATTTCGCTGTATATTTTTCTTGATTGTGCAGTTATTTACGAAACGATTCCTTTAAGGCGCTGCGAGGGACGCGCGACGGCTCCCTGCACGACAACTTCTTCGACGCCCTCCGTCGCGTGAAGCAGATCCACGACGACTGCAAGGTGCTGCTGAGAACCAAGCAGCAGACGGCCGGCTTGGAGATCATGGAAGCCATGGCGCTCCACCAGGAGGCAGCGTACGAGCGACTCTACCGGTGGACGCAGTCCGAGTGCCGCGTGCTCAACTCGGATCTGCCGGACATCAACGCGACGCTGTGCCAGGCGATGCGGGCGCTTCAGGACCGGCCGGTTCTCTTCACGTACTCCGTCGAGGAGTTCTCGACGGCGAGGCGCAACGCGGTCGTGCGCGGCTTCATCGACGCGCTGACGAGGGGCGGGCCGGGCGGCGTGCCGCGCCCCATCGAGCTGCACTCGCACGACCCGCTGCGCTACGTCGGCGACATGCTCGCGTGGCTTCACCAGGCGGCCGCGTCCGAGTGCGAGCACATGCAGTCGCTGCTCAAGCTCGTCACGAAGGAGGGCGTCGCGGACGTCGTCCGACAGGCCCTCGCGCACATCACCGAGGGCATCTGCCGGCCGCTCAAGGTCAGGATCGAGCAGGTCGTCGTCTCGGAGCCGGGTCTCGTCGCGCTGTACCGACTCGCGAACCTGTTGAAGTTCTACGAGCACACGATGACGCCGACGCTGACCGCCGACGCGCCGCTGCTCGCCTGCCTCGCCGAGATGCACGACCTCGGCCGCCGGCTGTTCTTTAGCGGTCTCGGCGCGCGCGCGGCGAAGCTCACCGAGCGGGTCGAGCTGCCGCCGGCCGACCTCGGCGCGACGGCGGGTGTCTCGCGCGGTCTCGCGCTTCTCGCCGAGGTGCTCGAGTCGCGAGACTCGTCGGTGGCGCGCCTCGACGCGCGGCGGCGCGACGACCTCGCCGAGGTGGTCGCTCGCGTCGTCGACCCGCTCGTGCAGGCGTGCTCCGTCTCCGCGTCACGCCTCGCCGCTGTCGACATGGCCGTCTACATGGCGAACTCGCTCTACCTGATCTACACGACGCTGTCGCTGTACGAGTTCACCGATCGACGGCTGGAGATGCTGCAAGCGCAGGTCGACGCGCATGTAGACACGCTCGTCTCCGAGCAGGCGTCGCACGTGCTCGCCCGCGCAGAGCTCTCGCACGTCTACGCTCACGTGCGCGCGCACGCGCCGAAGCAGGGGGCGCTGTCGGTGGTTGCTGGCATGGACGCGGCATCGGTGAAGGCGGCGGTGGGGAGGTTTGACGCGTACCTGGCATCGCCGGATGCGTCCGCGTTGCCGCAGTGCGGGTTGCTTGTGAGTCCGCGCACGCGAGAGACGGTTGCCGCACGCTCCGTCGAGCTCGTCTCTCTCGCATACGCGCAGATCTACGAGGCGATCGGTGCGCCGGAGAACGGCTACGGAGACGTGAACGCGATCATGCCGCGCACGCCGGCGCAGGTCACCAAACTGCTGTCGTAGAGTCGAAGCGCGGCGCGGTGGGGGTGGGGTAGGGTTCTATGGAGCTTGTCTCGGGTAAACTTTGGATTCAAGTTATTTCGTGTAGTGAAATGAAATACGACAATGTTATTCCAAGAACAACTTGCTTTGTTTTTTTTCTATATTTATGGCGTTCGTTGTTATGGTTTTGATATGTGTCATTCATTGTTCCTTGTGGTGTGTGGCTATTAAGTAACTTTTTGACTATATACACTGGCAAATGCTGTCTTGCGTGGAGAAGTTAGAAGTGGTTTTTACATTGCAATTCGATGTTTTTCTGATCCGTTCATAGTGCCATATTTCCGTCTTTCTGAGCTTCTTCGTTATAGGGTTAGGGAATTTTTTTTAAAACTGGATCCAATTGTGCAGTGATTAGGGTTACCACTTCTTTGCTGCTGAGATCATACTGTCATCATCTTTATTTAAATCTTTATATTAATTATTATTAAGAAAAATAATTGAAGCCAGCCTATGTCCATTGTAACATAATAGTACTAAATTTGTCTGCAAGTGTATATAGCAGTAAAATAATATGTGTATGGAGCACAACATGTATTATTTAAAGTATTGTGTATTGCAGTGTCGCTAACATGCAGCCTGATTATTTTCTGCCTAGCATCTCTGTCTCTTTCCCGGATCTTTTTGACTTTCTGAATATGTTGACGAAAGCCTTCCCTAGGATCGATACAATTACAAGACTTAAAGTTAAACCATGGTTGGCAATGTTGGTGAACATGGGTGATTGATCTTAATAAAAACTACATTTTTGAGATATTTAAAAACGGGGTACCCGGTAATATCTCCACCCTCTGCCCTTCCACTAGTCCACACGCAGCATCTTGTGAAGTATGACATTTCTTTCATTTATTCTGGAAAACATATTAGGACAGAAAGGTGGCGCCACCGACAAGTGGTGAGTGAGATTTTCTTTGCGTTTACTGTGTTTTGAGTTTCACCATAGTTTGTGCGTCTTGATAATAATATCTATAGTTGATGGGAAAGTGGGAATCATACAATATCCTGTAGTCATAGCTTTCATAATGTTTCATACGGATATTACCTCGAATACAAGACTCAAAAGCTGCGGCTCGGGACGGTGACAACAAAAGGTTGTTAGATGATGTGCGCCATCTGGCGGAAGCGTTCTGGGCGTGCGACGACCGATTGTAAGCTCAGATTGTAAGCTGTGTTTGTGTTGTGCTGGCAAGTCGGACATAAATAACAGTTGATACGGCGTTAGTTACTCGAATTAAGAGTCTCAAGTGAAATCTCTTGCTTACGGGATTCAAGAAAGACCTTACACAAGATTCTCTATACATGTACATCCTACATGAATTGGAAGCTAGAATGCTTGTTGGAGTACTTCGGATAAGGTAGGTAGGCTATATTTATCGGCTATCGCATTGTGACTGACTCGCTCATTCATTGGTTAAACCTATGATAGCCTAGTAATATTACTATTAGTAATAATTCTGTATTAGTACAACAGATGTGATGTACCCGGTATATAGTTTTACCTTGCTACGTTGCAGGTCATTGCGATTTACAACAGGCATTTAAAACGGCACATAGTGGGCCTACGCTCGTATACTACTACTACTAGGCTAGTTTCACAAAGCCGACAGTAAAATCATACAGCAGTAATACTAATAGGCCTACTAATACTAATACTAATAATGCTACTGTTCTAAAATACGAAAAATTCTTAATCTTGAATCAACATCTGGCTCGAGGGTATCAGATAAATGGCTTTGGATCTGTATTCTAAAGACTATAGTATAACATTTCAGCTGTATGATTTTACTGTCGGCTTTGCGAAACGTATACGAGCGTAGTACTACTACTAGTAGTTAGTAGTCTATGTGCCGTTTTTTGTTGTAAATCGCAATGATGTGCAACGTAGCAAGGTTAAACTATATACCGGGGACATCACATCTGCTGTACTAATAAAATTATTATGATACATTAGATGGGCTGTGGTAACACCCAAGCGGGATTAGTGGCAGCACCTCGTAAGCAAACAATAACTGTATCCGCAGCAAACTTTATGAATATTGAATGGGCTAAGTAAAGACTGATATTATAGTATATTTAGTATTACAGTTTATTTTTCATGTCGTGCAAAAGTGACGCTCCCTATAAATGTCTTAGTTTTCTAAAATAACATTTAAATTTCATGCCAAATTATATTTAGAAATGTTTAAGAAAACACAAATCAATATGGAAATGACATTTGGCATGGAAAGTTCTGCACAACTGCAGAATTATTCACACAGGAAATTCTTTGAACAACAGATTTACCACTATAAATACTTTTATATGCTGCAAGTTCAAGGAGCTTGATAATCAAACCAAAATATATACAGTACCGTTTCAATGTATTTGACAAATTTCCAAGCATTTTTCTTGCAGTACAATTTAAAGAATATGCAGGATTTTTGCCAACAGTGCCTGTTTTTGCCAACAGTACCTACTTTAAATTTCTCATTGCATTATGTTGAACCATCCTGCCTTCTCTTACAAACACTGCACTCATCAGAATACTAGATTCATTGTGCTGTAGCAGTGTTTGTTCATCAATTTCCCTCTGCCACAAGCTTGCTTGTGTAAATAAGATGCCCCCATTCTGGAATGTGTCTCTTGCTGCCTGTCTATTGTTTGAGAGGTGGTGGTAGGAACTTACTCTCAAATTCCATTATTCATTGGAAATTCCTGTATACATATGAGTACAGTGAGTGTGCGTGTGAATGCATTGAGGTAGGGGGCACAAGGAATTCTTACTTACAAGTACGAAAAGACGCAAAATAAGTACAATTAATGTTGTGTCAGTGGTACTGTATAGTGCCATCAAGTATTGATGGTAATAAAATATATAGCTCTTTGATTGTTTTCTAAAATTTGAAGTTATTATTGGCAAGTACAGAGTCTTGGCCTATCGGGTAACATATGATGAAAACACAACAGAGAGCTCAGACTATGTGTAACACGCAAAAAGTAAGCACGCTATGTAAGTGGAGTTTGTACATGTGTATGCAATTTGCCTGTAGTGTAATATTTAGAGCTCTGAGAGGTTGTATCTTTGGGGAGGGCACACAGTTGGGTACCCTCTCATCACTTTAGGCTGCATTTAGACACGTGCAAACTTTATCCTAGCCTCCCGCTGCTGTGAGAAACCCATCTGCTTCACATGTGTCATCTGCTGACATCATCGGCTGTGCTGATTGCAGTGGCATACGTCCTGCTGAATACTGACTGTACGTGACAATCTGTTGATTCAGGGGCTAACGTCTCTGATTGCTAGGTATCTTTTCAACGATCTCTAACTTTGTAAGTTCATCCGTGACGACTTGATGAGAGGTGGTTGTTTTGCGGCATGGTTAGCTATTTTACTTACGTCACTCGTGGTGTACCGGTGCCTTTGTTTGTGCGTGCGTGCATGTGTATGTGTGTGTTTGTTCGTTGTATTGTACTGCTGCGGTAGTTTAATATTCATTATTAATAATAGTAAAATCATTAGAATCTTATTTCTCACAAATGTATAATTCAAATTCATTTAACCACTGAAAACTCCGCACGCAAATGTTTTTGCTGATTCTTTGTTAGAATGCCTACGATGGTCGTCATTTGGGGGCTAGCCAGTACAAGTGTAGGCTAGTACTATGTTTAGAGAGACGTGAATTGAAACAAGCTGCTTCGCTAGTCAGCGCAGTATTTAGGTAGTGTGAAACAATAATACCGCATCACATGCTGCTGTAAACTACACGACTAACTCGGGTTCTAATGGCTGTGGCAGTTGTCGGGTTAAACTTGCGGGGGCTAGGCAATCTTACCAGCCTCTTGTACTCTAAGACGGCCAGTGCACGTATGTGTGTGTTTATACGTGTGTGTGTGTGTGTGTGTGTGTGTGTGTGCGTGTGTGTGTGCGTGCGTGCGTGCGTGTGTGTGAGAGTTAGTAGGTGTGTATGTGCACATTCTTGCACGCATGGGTAGATGCCGCCATGTGTATGTCCATGGTTGTATCAGGAGTCTATCATTATGTATTGATAGACTCCTGGTTGTATGTGGGTGTCTGTGAGGGCATGTAGGCGTACATGTGTGTGCGTGTGAAATGTGTGTGCTTCTAAGTTGCATGCGAAGTAAAAATCAGTTCAATTACACCTTCAACGTGTATTAGTGCGATGTTTTTCAATATGTTCAAGGAATTCACTTGCCAAGCTCCAACATATTAACCCTTTAAATCACTACCATGGATATAGCCATAACATGGAATAAAATAAAAACAACTTAGCAGTATAAAGCGTTATTAAAAACAAGTAAAATTAAAGGTCAATAAAATATAAACGAGTGAAGTAAAACGTCAATATAAACGTGTAACATAAAATGCCAATAAAATCATGTAAATAGCAACTCGCAGGGGGGTAGCGTATACAGCAAGTAGACATTTTGCAAGTAGACATTGTAGCGTATATAGCAAGTAGACATTTTACGCATTACAATCGATGACATTATATCAAGTTGCAAAAACCAAACTTTTAGACGAATCAACGTTTGTTCGCACGAAGGTGCATTTTCTAACCGTCGCTATGTGTGTACGTGTATTTTACTGCACAAGTGGGCCGGAGTCGTTCAACTGGTAGAAAACAGGTTAGCTCGGGGGCCAAGTGAACACAAGCCACTATTAACTATAAATCTTCTCTTCCAGCCATCGTAAAGCAGCTGTAAGGACTGTCTCCTGACCCCTGGTGTACACGTAAGATATTAGGTCCACAATGTTTCCTTCACGACAGAGGGAACTTGGATTTGATTTGGCATTCAAGTTATTGTTGCGTGTACAAACGGCCGTGCTATATAAAAGGTTGCAAGTATGTTAGGTTGATGTTTTGCATTTAGTTTAATTAGTGTGCGTTAATTAGTTATTACGTCAAACTTATTTTTTACACCTCGTGACTAATATTACTTTTAGCGTTATTAGATTTGCTATTTAAGCGTTTGGGATAATTTTGATAAATGGGAGTTAATGTGAAAATTGGGTTCCCCTTACAGAATTTCACATTATGGTAAACTTTTCGAGGCATTCATTTACATTTGTAATCGTGTTCATTAATTGCCCCTATGTAAGTAATGTAAGTAAAACTAAAGTAGACTCGTACACGCATTATATATTGTGTCTTAGAAATGTAAACATTAATGAAAAACTAGTTGCTCTCTGTCAGGGCCGGTTAGTCAAACGTTCGTGCTAAAATTTGACTGCCAACAAAATGCGGACGAGTTTATAATTACATCTGTTCGGTGTTATTCACGCCTGAGAGGGTTTCTATAGTAGACCGAGTTACTATCAGGTTTATATCAGTGAGTGAAGTACAGTGCGTGAGGAATGAAATTTGCAATTAAATTGGTTTCTGAGCAGGTTTTGACCCGATTTCGTCTGTGCGGGATACCCTGTAAAGTGCGAGTTTTCAAGGTACACACACATACACAGTGGCACCCACACACGCGCGCACACACGCATGCGCGCGCGCGTACAAACACATACACACACACACACACACACACACACACACACACACACACACACACACACACACACACACACACACACACACACACACACACACACACAC